GGGGAAGGGAGGGTGCGTATCACAATAAAACATATTTTTGAATATGTTTTATTACTTAAAAGCCCATTTATACCATTGCTGCTAAAAGCTTATACTTTATACTTCTTACTATATGTTCATACGCGCAAACCATTTCAAGATAGCTTCGAAGTTCTTGTTGTTGTAAGGCAAGTGCGCGAGAGGCAAATGACAGTGTATCCTTGCAGTATTCGACAAGCAAAACACTTCGTGGGACGTACAGTGACAAGCAGTGAAGATCAGTCCCAGTGATTCCGCCTTTCCCTCCGTAGAGTTACCGTTTGCCGTATTTAACGTCTTCTGAGGCAGTCGGCTTCGTTGCTGTTTCACATTAGTCTTTCTCACGCCAATGCAAACCCTCTATTAACTCTGTGCAAACATAGTACCGCCTCACCGTAGCATATATTGTGTAAGATGCAAAATAGTTTTCTGAATCGCGTTCGTTAATAAAAAACGAAGGTCACACTTGCGACCGTGCGATGTTTCACACTCGGGAAAACACAAACTTGAAAACATGAATGATTCAATGTTGTATTATATGTAGGTTGGTTTGTATGCTGAGTTTGATCGTGATCGTCTTCTGCCCTTTTTACGTAACAGTAACTACTACCCTCTGCAAAAGGTAAGCTTGGCAATTCCTTTAACGTGCAAGTTTTCATATATTTTTCATTGCGGGAATATTGTCCGGCAAAAAATTGCTTTGCATGAACAGAAAATCATAAGAAAAACATTTTTTTCTCCAGGCGCTGGCTGAGTGTGAACAGCGACATCTTATTCCAGAAATGGTTTTTCTTCACAGTGAGTAGAGACCAACCATCCGTCCATCCATTCACACCTCCTTTCATCCCATCGGTATCCTTCCTCTTCCCATCCACTATCCCATTTCATCCACCCATGCATTCATCCTTCATTCGTCCATTTATCCTAATGTCTCATCCTATCTCATTCATTCAATTCTTTTTTACTTGCAGGTCGCATGGGAAATAACAAGAAAGCTTTGCATTTGATAATTGAAGAACTAAGGGATGTTGAGAAGGTACATACTTTTGACATGGATATTGAAAATATTGTTTATCAGAGTTTTAAAAAAATGCCATCGCTTATCAACACCACAAGAACAGCAGCGGCGCAGCTCAACGGGATTGAACTTAAAGCATGTAAAGGCACCTCTGGCAGCCGCTATGCAGTCCATCCATTATCCTGGAGGACAGCTCTAACCATTTTGAATTAGTTACAGTTGGAGTCAGGAAGAGAACCAACCAACTCAGCTCATATGGGGCAACTGGGAATTGAACCCTGGACCTCAGGAGTGAGAGGCGAGGGTTTTATCACCACGCCATCCTGACTCGCCTTTAACTGTGCAATAACTTACTGAGATGTGGCACTTTCAGGCAATCGAGTTTTGCAAGGAACAGAGTGATGAGGATTTATGGGAGGATCTAATCCAGTGTTCTCTTGACAAACCAGGTATTCTTCATTTTCACGTTATTCAGTTTTATCTAAATTGGGCTTTTAGTGAAGACTTATCCTGCTAGTAAAGGTCTTTTATAGCTGAGTAGGTGGAGGTCCATTGGGCAATTTTCTGGAGTGTATACTGATTTAAGGTATTTTCTATTTCAGCATTCATCACCAGCCTTCTTCATAACATTGGCACACACGTCGATCCTATCAAACTCATCAAGGTAGACACATATTTGTTGTAGGATATTGAGGGGATGTATAGGAAAGAGGTACCTATGAAGGGGAGGGTGCGGGTATCTATGTGGATCCTATCAAACCCATCAAGCTAGACACATCATATTTGCTCGAGGATACGGAGGGGATTTTAATTATTTCGAGTTTGAGTAAAAAACTGGAGTGAGCTGGTATGGCAGTACATCGTGGACTGTTTTACGGGACATATTTCCAAAATGGCCTCTATTTCGTCCCCTAAAACAGCCCCACAATGCACTGCAATGCCTCAACCTCGGAATGACTGATACGCTATACAAGACACATTAGATATAAACATTGGTTTTCCATGTTGTACTACAGCGTATTCCAGCAGGTATGGAAATTCCTGGCCTAAGAGATTCGCTTGTCAAGATCTTGCAAGATTACAATTTACAGGTATGTGACATCAATGAACTCAGCCTCTTTCTCTTGGGCGTAGTGTTTTCCCACTTCAGACCACGCGTCATTCCCTGTAGTATCATTTCTTTGTTTAACGGTTGAGAAGATGCGTATGAAAAAACTCAAACAAATAATATTATTCTCAATAATAATGGTCTAAAATGGTCTAAAATGGGAAAACATTCACCCAAGCCAAAAAGGTCTATTAATCGATTAGAGATCTTTTGATGAAGGGTTCAGAGATGGAACCGACGACACTGGCATGAGACTTTAAAAGTTCTTGTAATCATTCTGGCGTTATTATTTGTATCTTATCAGATCTCATTAAGAGAAGGCTGCAAGAAAATCCTTGTAAAAGATAGGTAAGAAATATTCGGATAGCGGTCGTAGGAGTTTCTGGTTAGTTCTGATCGGAGAGGGGAAACATTTTGTCTTCTCTTCCGCAAAATTCAAATTCAAGTTCAAGTTCAAGTTCAAATTCAAATAAGCCTGAAGCGAGATGACGTTTTACCCCCAACTCTAGACCATAATAGTTTTTAAAATTCTTTCATATTAAAATTTTTGATTCCTTAGAGAATACAGGAACGATAGTTATAATTAAAGAACAAAAGTAGTGTGAAAAGGATTATGGTCTAGAGACGTGGGGTAAAACGTCATCTCGCTTCAGGCTTATTCAGATTCAAATTCAAATTCAAATTGACGCAGACGCAGACGTAGACGCACACGCACGCACACGCACACGCACGCACACGCACACGCACGCACACGCAGAAACAAATAGAAATAAAATGGTGTAAATGGATCATAAAGCAGTTGTTATGATGATCATAATCGGGCCCACTTCAATGTAGCTTCTTTCGGTGGATGCTTTATGATCCTGTAGCTTGAAATTTAGAAAAATCATCTTTTTAATGATTTATTCTATGGTTTGTCAATATTTAGTGCCTCACTTATGCAGAGATTAAACAAAGTTCAACAGCGTGGTGTTAGTGTAGATGGTAAGTTTGACTATTGGGTATTTAATGGCCAGGGGGGATGCAGCTGAAGTTTAATTCGATTAGGGACAAAGTCAAAGCAATAGTAATAGTAATAATAATTTATTCGCACCTTGTATGTACTATGTTTAATAATAACAGGTTGTCTTACTAGAGTGACCACAGTAAATCTGTGAAACACTAATTACTAAATACTACAAAATAGTGCTAGTTAAACAATAGAAAGCAATGGAATTTGCATGAAATTGTGCTATTTAGTATTACTAAAGTTTCACGGATTTACTGTGGTCACTAACCATAAGGGCTAACTAGTAAAGACAACCTGAGATACTATAAAAAATTACAAAATAGACCTTTTTAGCTTCGTTCTTTGTTTATGCACGTTACAGACCATGTGATGCCACTCTTGGGAGTTGATTCTTTCATGTGTAAATATTTCAACATGTTCGTCATAAAAGAACAATTCTCAAGGGAATGTCATGTGATCTGAAATGGGCAATTTGCATACGAAGGTAAAAAGGTCTTACGGGAACCGATTTAGAGGGAAGGGGTGGACGCGTTTTCAATCTCTCTAAAACTAAAAAAAAATAAAATAGCATAAATGAATGTACTGTCTGTTTGCCGTTACCCCCAAGTCCTAAATCACTATTTTGATCATTCTTTTGATCAATGCCCTTTTATACTGATCTCAAACTGTTTTCATGGAGAGGGACACATTATGCCACAGGGTTCGTGCTACTCCTTAAATTCCTTGAAAACTCCTTGAATTTAATTCACGTTTTCAAGGGCAATTGAAAAGCTCTTGAATATTATAATTTTAGCGAAACTCCTTGAAAACTACTTGAATTTTTGCTTTGATCATTACTTGCATGGTTCTGAAATAGATCTAGTCAGAAAGATTGGAAAATCTGAAAGTCGGCCATGTGCAACCACCGTGTAAAACCTTGGCATAGTTAGCTGTACATACTACTTGAAAATTCATTTTTGGGTCCTTGTATACTCCTTGAATAGTCCTTGAATTTTAAGTGGTTACACTGATGGTTACACTGATGCCACTCGTTAAAAGAAATGTTTTGACGGAAGGAACTCAGACATAAGGCAGATTTTAACACCATTACACATTTCATGTTTTCTAGAACGACATGGCTACCCTCGATAGGAAAAAAATAAGCCTAGATTAGTATACGCCAAAGTAATTGTGATGAGCGGGAGGGTTAACTTGACTTTATGAATCTTGAAAGGCATCTTAGAAAAATAATATTTTACCTCTAAAGTTAAATTGACTATGAATATTCCTAGGAGTAAGGGTGAAGGTTAGTAATGCTTAGTAATTTATGAACCTTAATCTTCTGTACGTATCTTAACTCGCAGAAGAGACGACTTGCTCAGGGTGCCGTGCTTCAGTCATAGCTGAAGGTAGGTTGGGAAGTTGTGACTGTCGCCTTTGGGGTTCACAAATTATTGAACTTGGAAATAGCACTGTACAAGCTAGAATTTCTGGATTTTAATTATGTAGGGATTACCTTGCCAACTGAGTCCCCAACTCTCTCCGTGCGCTGGGATCTTTCTCTAAACACGCTGCGTCTGCACCCATGCAACTCGTTCCTACGTATGACTATCCTTCCTTTTAGGATTGTTGAGAACTGAGGAAGTTACCAGATAGAAGTAACTAACAGGGCCCAGTTGTTCAAAGCCCGCGATTAGTGCTAATCCTGGGTTAATACTTAATGAGACCTATAGAGTTAATCCTGGATTAACGCTAATCGAGCTTTGAACAACCCGGCCCAGAACTGTGACCATTTCTTTCTGAGCATTACTGAATATTTTTCAATAGAGTAGACATAAAAACTCACGGTAGCGACGTGCTGCGGCATGACCGTGATGGGTCATATTCAAGGGTTCTGATTGGATTAACAGTAATTTTGTGCACCGTGATTGGTTCAACGGATGTCGTTATTCCGCACCGTGACCGTGACGTGCGCTGTTATTTTTCTTAGTTGTGAACCACCCATAGATTTTTATGTATTTATCTATTAATTTTATATTTCCTTCGATTCATCCATCCATCCATCCATCCACCCACCCACCCACCCATCCANTGCTCCAAATTTCTATAAGTTCAATGGTAGGTTTCTGTGTTATCTCTTTCTCTCTCTTTTATTTACATTTTACTTTGTTTGTTTGTTTGTTTCTTCATTTATTCCTTTTCCTTCCTTCCTTCCTTCCTTCCATCCATCCATCCATCCATCCATCCATCCATCCATCCATCCATCCATCCATCCATCCATCCATCCATCCATCTATTTTTCTTTCCTTCTTTCCTTCCTTCCTTCCTTCTTTTATTAACACACTGATTTCGATGTTTTGTGTCTATGACAACAGATAGTCGTAAGGCGTCCAATATCGCTGTATTTTTCTGTAAACACGTTTATCACGAAGACTGTCTGCCATCGTTTAGAGACGTGGTATGTATTCTTGTCGTCATTCAATACTCAATCTATAGCTGTTAAAGTACCTTTTATAAACCTCTCAAACCTCTGCTGATAAACCCTCCCAATCGAGGAATTCTACCCAACGAACAAACCAATGTTAATAGTGATTTTGCATGGATCGAAAACTTGATGCTGCTTCGTTTAAATCCATACAAAGCTATGGTCCTGCATCAAAGGATAGTTTCGGCGGGAAACGGACGCGTCACGTGATTGCAGCCATGACGTGAGGCAGGAACAATATAGCTGTTAAGTGTGACGTAATTCGAAAGAAAAACAACTTCCGGGTCCAAATTAATAATTACTCTCATATACGTTTTTCTGTGTTTTTTCTTCATAGCAGGATTTTCTGTCCATATATCTAATTGTTAAAGGTAGAGAATAATTCCTGGGAATAAGCTGTAGCAAGATTTTAGCGATCTTTTGGGTGATTGGACCCGGATATACGTCACAACACACAAAAACCCTATAGACCTCCTCAGCTCGGGCGTAATGGTTTTTTCCTATTTCAGATCACGTGTCATTCCCTAGAGTATCATTTCTTTTTTTAACGGTTGCGCTCGGTTGCACATGAGAAGACACATGAATATGGATACAACTCAAACAAAGAATCTGATTCTCAACGGAATGACACGTGGTCTGAAATGGAAAAAAAAAACCATTACGCCCGAGCCGAGGAGGTCTATTTAATTTGGTCTAGTCTGATTTACATAAGAAAGAATTCAGTTTCCCAGCGGAAAAGACTCTATTGTTGTGCTAGCGCAAAGCGTCTATACCCATACCTAATCTGCGAAGATTTTAGCATCAAAGAATCTTATTCTTCGATTGCACGTTACGTCATGGCGGGCTCTCGAGGGAGCGTTGGTGCCATTAAACAAAAGATTTCTTATTAGCATCCATTGTTAACGGCACCACAATGGCCGCCATGCTTTTGTCTTTTAACTCTCTTGGGAATGCTTGCAACCCATCAATAGTCTGACACCAAGGGTAAACAAAACACAGCTTTAACGAACTGAAATATTTCATTTCCTAATATTTTTGTCTGTGACTGAAGCCTCGTGCAAGTAAACCTAACTGCCCACAAAGCCACAAAAAACCCGAGTTGTGGCCAACACAACACATATTCTTAACCGCAAAGGGCCGAGTGTGGTAAGCCGACCAATACACGCTCTGCAACATAGACTAAAGCAACAATTTCGCTCGACTTGCATACAGTTTTGCGCGGAATTTAATGAAGAATGGAATCAATGACCAGTGATGTTTTCTATCGAGACCACTCTAAGATGGTTTCCATTTAGCAACGCCCCCTACTTGCTCATATAACAAAACAGTGAAGAGAAGAAGGTGCTGCGTGCGTTTCTTGGCTTCTCCTTCCGATCCTCAGTGGTCCTCAGTTTAATAATTGGATTGTGATTTTTTCTTTTGTCCCTTCTTCTTTTAGGGCCCGTTTTGCCACATCTGTACTGGACACAGCCAAGTAAAGAGACTGAAATCACTCAAAAGCCGCACTGGTTCAATGTACAAATAAGAGAAATTTCATTGGCTAGGGATGGCGTGACTTAATTTGTGCATGACATGCTAGACATACCACAGTTATCGTGACAACTATTTCGCATTAGTTTGGGTTGATATCCGTTTCGTTGCGTGACGGAAGCGACTCTCATTCCTTACAGGACATGAAAGTACGTGAAGATATTTCGATTCTCTCACGGAATAATACACGATAATAATTTCTACACATCTTGATTCTGTTCGGATTCTTTTATCAAATATACTTTCTCGATTTTATTTGAAGATTTATGATATCTTAATAGCATCTTAAAAGCCATGATTAAACATGCGTGACTTATTTAATCGAATTATTGCATCAAATCTATACTAGACTAGCTTATTTAAGCGATTTGTACATTTCAAAATGCTAATATTCATGTTAAGGCCCCGTCCACACTATGCCGGATAAATTTGAACCCGAATTTTTATTTATTCGGTTAGGCCTACCGTCCACACTAGTCCGGGCGAATCCGGAACAATTCTTCACCGAAAACGAATTTTCGAAATGGAACCGAATAAATAAAAATTCGGATTCAAATTTATCCGGCATAGTGTGGACGGGGCCTAAATCATGTATTAAATAAATGGATAACAATTTCATTATACATTTCTTTGGATCAAAGATGTTTGAATTTATCCAAATATTTTCATTTTCTGACAAAAAAGGGAAAGTTTTGAGGAGTAGTTTCAATTTTAGTTAAAATCTACTTTTTAATCATCCTTTCTTGATTTTCAAAAATATACTAATTTCCTTTGTACAATTACTTGCTCGGTTAACATCAGAAAAGGTCAAGCTCAAGTTATCTTAAGAATTTTTTTAACATCTTTACTTCCTTTTCTGTTAATGGACATTATTTTTTGCGGTTAATTAATAAGATGCCGCTTTAGGTGAACAATCTAGCCGAGAGCATTCTTTCACTTTTTATTCAATGTAATTTACAACGGACCTTAATTTAGACACGCATCAGCAAGTACAGACTTTTGATAAACAAATCCTTTGGCTGTTAGCAAACATTTTCGTCTATATATACCAGCTGTTGTGTGGTAAAAGGGTATTAGAGGTATTAGAGGTTTGTTGCCGCATATGGTCGGCGATGAGTGATTCTCGTTATTCCTAAAAACCACACAATTCAAAGTAAATTTATTCTCCGTCATGTTTGGTCACATCATTAGATATTTGACTCCGAAAATAACTTTGAATTGTAGTTCTGTTCCTGCTATTTTGGTTTGACTGTCATCACAGAAAGTAAGTGCAAGGTAAGTTTACTTTTTCTTTTTAATGCTTATTTTCATTATTATTTGTTATGGTACGTTGTGTGTTCAATTGTTTTCAGTTATGGCTTGTTTCGAACATGAACTTTCGTATCTTTTATATCGCTAACAGAGCGTTTTTCACTCGCGTGAGAAGGCAGCCATAAAAGATAGAAACTTTCTGCACAGTATTTGCATAAAAATAGAGTTCAATTCCCGGAGGATAGAAAATGTATTGTTTTGGTAACGAAAACGATCTATGGTCTGAACCGCCAAAAAACAAATATTTTTAAAGACGATTGTGACAGTTTATTTTCATCTATTGATACCGACTGAAGTCGTTCGGTATGAAAAGTGACTGCACTGGACTGTCAGGCATAGTGAAATGATGACTAGCTATCGAACACCTGATTGGCTAGCTAGGATATATAACTATATCACTGATAATCTCTCGCAACCTCTTCTCATTTGTGAACTCCAATCTTACCTGATTAGGCCCGTAGAATACCCGGTAACCGAACGTTGCCATAAGAATATAATTTCTGGACTACCTGTGGTTATAAGAAAGTCAGGTTGTCTTTGCCCCGGCCGTGGACCCCTGAAAGTCCTTGCTGAAGCCAGTGAGGGTCTGGGAGAGCTACTAGTTCTAGCTAAAGCAGCAGCGAAAAAAGATAAAAATTCCAGTTGGTTTCTGAAGTCTCCCGTTTTCTAGACCACAAAACGTTTAGAAGAACGGTAGCTTAGGAAGATGACAATCGGGACTTAGTAGTAAACCGAAAATTGGCCAAAAAAATGTTAGTTAACTAGCAAATAACCAAATAAGATAATTATTTTGGTTAATATTACATCCAGCGCTCGTAAAATTATTAGTGACACTGACATTTGGCCGAAAAATTAGTAAACTGACACTGAATTGGGTACGTATATCCCCATTGGTACTCTCGCTTTAGGTTTATTTTTCTAAGAGAAATCTAACTGAACGTATACTGTAACAGTAGGGCCCTGGGTGACTAACTGGTGATTAAGTTTTTCTCTTCGCGGGCCCAGAACCGACATTCCGTTAAATTTCAATAGTCGATATGTGTTACAGTGCCCTGTCTTTGATCAGCCCAGACAGGTTGTTTAAGGATTCGTTCTGTGAGCTAGCCATGCACTGACTATGATCAGCCCAGAGGTTGTTTCAGTATCCAATTCGAAAACTGATTATTTGTAGTTCCAGCGGATTTCGTGCCAAAACGCGCTTTCCATGAACAATCACTGCTGAAATGTTAAAGTGTGGAAGCGGTTCCAAGTACCTCGTGAATCAGTGCGTGATATTTTYCCCCCAACTTTTCGTTTCAATAAAAAAACGCCCGTCCTTACGTAAAACACCACGTAATCACGTTGAAACATAACTGACGTTCCAGAGAGAATCAGAACTGTGTACGTAACATGCCTTTTGTATTGAGGGGAATTCGAAGCCGGTAACGTTGACAATAATGCCATAGCTAGGAAGGTGGATCGGGAAATAGGAAGTTGACTGGAAAAAGCCGTCATCATGTTGGTTGAGTCACTTTCCCCATAGTCAAAACGCTGAAACCCGAAAATTAATGTTATAGTTTCTATGCCAAGTATAGACCTATCTTTCTCCTACCTGTTCTAGAAATTCTGTCAGCCAGCAATTCTGAAAGTCCACTTAAGAGAAAGGTAAGAGGGGTTTCGAGAAATTCATCTTTCACTTTTACTAAAGTGGGCTCCCTGTGGTTAAACACCAGTAATCATCATCAGTCGACAAGGACGAGAACAAGCAAACAACAACAACAGCAACAGAAAAAATACTTTTAAATAGTTTGTGTATTCATTCAAAAGCCACTTTGTACTTTTCACCCTAACAAACCTACTTTGATTGGGCATGGTGTACTCCTGTTTCATCATTTTTCTCCGTTTTTTCATCTACATCAGCATTTTTTAGTGTGGTTTTATATGGCCATAGGACGGCCGGTAACTGCGCCCAGCCGTGCCTTTGTTCTTATTATCCAAACAAGAACTTGAACTTTGCGCTTTTTAAGAAAAAACTTATATCAAGAGACCATGGTCTCTTGCTTGTATCTATAACTAGAAATTTGGCCATGGCTGGTAGTACAGTTTCCCACCTTCAGCGAAACCCACACTGTGATAATTGGTGTGTTGTGGTTTCACGGTACTTAGCCTCGGTAAACCGGCACATCTACACGGGCTTGTGAAACTACAGTGTTGTAAATGAAGTTCAAGCACTCGAGACTTCCGTTGTTATGAGTATAAAACTAAATTCAATATCACCAAAACAATTCCAAAATCCGACTAAGCCAAATATGTCACTGCGATATAAAATTAACAGGGAGTGAATCATTTGTGGGCGTTCCCGAACAGATCCCGTAGGAGGGGTCTGGCGTCGAGGGAAGTACGGGACGGGAAATGAAGCGTAAGGGACCAGTATAACGTTAGCATCGAAAGGCACACGTCAATCTGAGTTGTAGATCCAAAAGAAGTCAATACTCGAGAGCTTTGAATCTTCCCTTTAAGTAGCTTTAATTTAGTCTACAAACTTTGGATTCCTTCCAAGCGTAAGTTGCAAATCTGGAATGATCCGTCTCGGTCAACAGCTGTCTAATCAAATCTGTACGATCGATAAGAATGAATGAGTTCGGAGCGATTTATCCCTACACTGGTCTAACGAACTTTGTGACCGCATTTAATGCATTTTTTTTTTGTTGACGTATTAGCCTAAGTTATATACGCAACATGTTTTATATTACTTTTGTTTCAGAGAGAGAGAGAGAGATCTTTGACCTTCAACGACACCTCAACAACCATTCCTTCGAACTCTAACATGGAGCTTATGTTGATAGCTCTGCTCGTAATAGCCACTGTCCCTTGGAATTTAGACGCTTTCAATGTTGATACAAGTAAAGCTCAGATATTTTCGCCCCCTTCAGGCTATAAAGGAAGCTACTTTGGTTATTCTGTAGCTCTACATTCTTATTCAACAGACAAATGGTAAGTCAATCTCTGAATTTCTAGTTGAACTGTTCATTTGGAGTTGTATTATACTATGTTCACGATTGCTTTATTTATTTACTTAATTCATCTACAACAGCTCGTTTGCGACAACTTGAACAAACTTTCTCTTGCATTAAATAATTTCCTAAATAAATCATTCCCCACATAATGACTTGTAGTATCTGTGCTGTTCGTGGTGGAAATCTAACTTACAAAAAGGCAACATTCATAAACTTACAAAACATATAAATCAAGCACTTGTGTGGTGATCAATCAATAATTTTTTAGCCTATCAAGCCTGACTGACACACACGGAATAATTAAATCTATTTAAGTTTTCTTTATTATTTGCCTTCAAAACAAGGGTCGGATTTTTTTAAACGATTTATTTTTGGGCACTATGGCTGTACTAGTGACCTTCAATCACAACCTAAGGCAATAAATTAGTAACACGATTGTGTGACTCATAAGTGACTGAACTCACGAGGAAAAAAATCTTTCAAAATTTCCATAATTTCTTCTTCACGATCGAACTGAATACTACGAGGATCGTAACCTAAAATACAAGAATCGGGAGTTTTGCCAAATTCCTCTGAAAGTTTAGTAAAACAAATAATTATGTGACATAATTTTATGTAATTCAACACATCACTTCCGTAGGTTCCTTCGATTGTTTCGTGTGTGTTTTTTTAAACAAATTTTGTAATTTTATTCCCAAGGTATCCTTTCCTACATCCTTGACTTGCTCTACATCCGTTCTGGCAAATTCTTTTGGCATAATAATCATAAAATAGAGATGCTTTTGAACTTATACTGCGAGCTATTTAGGGATAAAATTTAATTATTTTCGACTGCTTAATTATAGATAAGATTTATCAATTAATGTCTTCAAGTTTTCAATTAACTCGTCATTTCTTATCGCGCTTGATTGTAATATACTGTAGTGTTTTAAAATTCCATATTTCTAAAAGTTAGATATTAGTAATCTGTTCGATAGTAACTTTTGGGGAATGAAAGTGCCAAGAGATGTTCAAAACTTTTCTCAACCTTGATGAGGATAAATAAACATTTTGCCTGTTTATTTTTCTCTCATTTCGATTTTTTCCACTCCACTCCTTAACACCCCTTATATATTTAAACTTTACGTTTTTGAAAAACTATTAATTACCATGTCTACTGTTTTTATAAAAACTCATATATTAACCAAAATATTGGATTTAAAATGATTACAAATGATAGAATATATTAATAATATTAGTAATATTATTATTATTATTAATATTATTGATATTATTAATATTATTAATAATATATTAGATATGTTTTATTGTGTCCACTCGTGTCACGGCTGTCAATCCATTTCATTCAGTTTCATTTATTCATCCATTTACTTTCTTCTATTTTTATTTATTTGTTCATTTGAATATCCATCAATTCACATTTTTCCATAAATTATATTTTTATGTGATATTTGGTTGTGCATGTCATGGTAAATGTTATATTAAAAAGTATGATGTATCTTCATTATATAATATTGTGTAGTTCAAGAAATTATCCATAACCCTCCCCCCCCCCCCCAAAGATTTTGGAATTTCCAAAGGTTAGGGGGGTCAGGGAAAGAACAAAAATATAGAATTTGTATGGAAGAAAATTTAAATATTTCCAGGGGTAGGGGGGGGGGGGAATATAAAAAATCACTCCGTGAGGGGGGTATGGATTGTTTCTTGAACTGCACATTTTTATATATAGAATTTATATATATATATATATATTGTTTTAATTTGTTTTGTTTGAGTTTGACAAGTGTTTTACTCCTTTAAATCTCTAGGTTACTTGTTGGTGCACCATTAAGTAATGTTTCTGATCTTGCTAGTAGCAGTAGTTCCTTAAGTCTTAAAAATTATGGTGCCATTTTCAAGTGTAAGGTCCCGTCATCATCTCCTAGCTGTATATATATACCTATAGACAACACAGGTAAGAAGATAAAGGATTTTCTTAAAGCAATATAACTAGATGTGCATGTGCACATACTTTGATATGACACCTATTTCAATAAGAGTGGTCAGAAAAAAGAGGGATGTTTTACAGAGCAACCCACAAAAGTATGACCACATTTAATATATTCACATACTTCTATGAACTGAGGCTCTGTACTTTAAAACGACACATTTCGATGCAAAGCTGGCTGGTTTTGCGAAATAAGTTGTGCAAATGCTTGTTATGGCAGGAAAAAGCCTGTGCATAGAAGTATGCGAAGACATTAAATGTCATATTTGTGCATGTTGTGCTGTAACAACCAAAAGAAAATCTATCAAATGAATAGAAATTAGACTGATTATCTTTCACACAAAAAAAAGGAAATTAAGTTAATGATTTTTAGTCAAATTTTTGGGGATTGCTGGCTTGCTCCCCATCCCTATCTATACTCCTGTCTTTGGATGCATAAATCTTTTTTAAAATTGTGTAGTTCCAGAAATGTTTTAATATATTACGTACCAATCGAGAATATTTTTGAACGATTTGGCACGAACATGCATGTCTCTGTCCTCTGATCGAAATTATGCAGTACTATAGCCTGAACCAATCAGAGCAAACCTGATATTTTAATACTTTATGAAATATTTTTGAGAATTCTGCTCCAGCATGTCTTTTGTTGTCAACAACAAAGGGGGGGAGGGCTGGGTGATTTGCAGCAAACTTTTTTAAAGGATTGTAGCCCTTCCCCTTTTATTTAGTAAGAAATTCATGACCCTCCTATTAATTTAAGTCCATAAGGAAAAGCTTTTGTAAAAATAAAGAGGCTTGACATACAAAAAGTTAAAACTTTTAAAACTTTTAATCAATTGCTATTGGGCATTATAATCTATATTGGAAATAGTGCTATATAAATAAATAAACTCTTATTATTATTATTATTATTATTATTATTATTATAAATTATCCTTGGATCCCCTCTGAAGGGCAGCCTTCCAACTCTACCCCCTCCCCCCTCCATCCTAAAAAAATTGTACCATATCAGCATTGGTCCCTCAATGTTATATGTATGCTACCAATATTAGATCAAAAACCCATATTTTCTTGTTCCCAACAGCTAATGAGAAAAGGCAAGGCCGCCTCAATAACCAGCCAACTCAACTGGAAATGGAAACCAAACAAAACCAGTGGCTTGGTGCAGTCCTTGAAAGCACTGGGAAAAACGGAAAAGTTGTGGTGAGCTTTTAAGTTTTTGTGTGTGGGCATTTGTTCAATACAACACAACAATTGTTTGAAGGCAATAGTAAAATAGATTTATCATAATGTAAAAGTAGACAGTAGCTATGGGGGCTTTGACGCCTTTGACCTCGTGTTCCATTCATTCATAATAAAGCAAAGACAAAGCACTCACCAATGCGACGCACTTTTGAGACCTGCCAGGCTTGGTTTCATATACTTGAGTAGTAATGATAAAAAGGTAAATTATACAAAAACTTACTGACGTTTCAGATGCTAGTCCTTCATCTTTTACTCTTTTACTCCGACAAAAAGGACTAGTGTTCGAAACGTCAGTAAGTTTTTTGATCTTTTCACGGTGTATAATTTACCTTTTATCATTACTGTTTTATTAGAAACACCGACGCAGCTCACACTAGTTTTTAGCTAGTTATCTCTTCATATATACTTGACTGGTAGAGTTGCTTGTTTGTTCTAACCTGTGCTTCGAGGGTTTTTCTCCGGTTTTCCTCCCTCGGAAAAATGAACTTCTAAACTCCAATTGGAATCCAGTTAGAAGTTTGTCATTTCCATCCTCATGATTGATACCAGTATTGTTGAATCAACAGACATGCGCTCCAAGATATGCGTACCGTGGTGAGCCACCACAAGACTCCTCTACCTTCCAATATAAATGGATACTAGGACGATGCTTTGAAGTGGAGACATCTCTGATCAGAGCCAAATCAACCATCATTGAGCCATGTTTGGATAGTAAGTGGTATCTTCAAACGCAGTTCAGAATTTGTCTAGCAAAATCCAGTAGCCCCTCTTTTCATTCTGTGAATAACGCTTTGAGCCTTGGTTACAGAACCATTTGTACAGATTTACCCTTGCTTCAGAGCCAATCATCGACAAAAGTCAAAGTCTGGATAACAGATCCAGAGATACGCCGAACTGAAAAATGGCGACCTATTGAATAAATATTTTTATCATATAATTATCCATAAAATACCTATATTTCTCCTTTTCGAAAAACTTATATTTTCACATGTGAAAATATCGTTACCATGTGTATTTAAGCTATTAGTTTATGATAATAATAAAAAGCTTGTTARGTTGATTTTATGGATAATTATATAATAAACAGAATATTACATGGCCGCTTGGAGATACGAAATTTATCTTCTCGTGTTGAAAATCTGCGCTCACTCGTGACAGATCATTTTAACACTCAAAGATAAATTTCGTATCTCCGCGCGCCCATGTAATATCCTCTATTTCTGCACTGACTAGCGACTGACTATCCTCTCATACATATGAAAACGCTTTTATGTTTCCACATGAACACGAGACTAGTCAGTCGCTAGTCAGTGCAGAACAAAAGTTATTCAAATTGACCACAATATTTCGATTAGGTGTATAAAAGATTCAGAATAGCACTACTTTCTTTTTACTGATGGGATTCCTGTCAAGGAATTTTGCGCCAAAACGCGCTTACCTTTCCGTACGGTGCAGCCAAAATCCAAACTTCATTGCCAGCGTTAGTTGTTACTACACTTATTTCAGGAATAAATATTGATACATTCTGATGTTCCCCTCAAGCAAGCTCATAACGGTGAACGAGCTGTTATAGTAATACTCTAGGTTTTGTAACATGATTTTTTTGATTGCAGAGAAGAAAGGCAACAACTACTATGGCTACTGTCAGTCTGGTTTTAGTGCTAAAATAACTGCAGACAAAGAACCGTACATCGCGATGGGTGCTGTTGGTGTGAGTCGCTGGAAAGGTATGTGGTATCAGAACCTCCACTTCACTGAGAGAAAGTGCCTTACGTATACGAGCGAACTTCGTGCCACCTATGCCAAATAACTGCAAAGGTCATCATGAGCGCGCTAAATGCCAACATAACGCCTTTTTTTGCTCTTTTCGTATCAGGTGGAGTAATCACGTATTCCCCAGCTTTTAAAACTACTACGTTATCTACTCAAGACCAAATCGACCACGGTAACTACATGGGTGAGTAGATATTTAGTAGGTTGAACAACCTTTGAGCCTTGTGTGTGGGGTGGGACGACTGTTGACCAAATCAACCACTGTAACTACCAAGACCTCTCATCAGCCAATATAAAGTCGATGAGTCTTTTCTTCAGAAAACAAGCAGAGATTCCAGCGAAACTTAATTGACCATGGTTTGTTTTTCGCTACTCGCTATCTATCAAAGGATAGATAGTGAGTACGTTAGCCAATCAGATTGAAGGATTCGTGATAGTATGCTAGTAGGTTATATAAGTTCAAAACTATCCTTGATTTTGTTCTGAAATATCAAGACTAAAAGTCATGTACTCTATAGGGTTAAATAGGCAATTTTAAGGTTGTGAGTAAAACTGGACTCTTTTATGTTTAGGTTATTCAGTGACAAGTGGATACTTTGGCTTAGCCAATAAGACAGGTAAAACCATCTGTTTTTGTTTTTACTTCAATGAGGGCACGGCAACGTTAAGTGAGACATTGCGTGTAGTGCGCAATGGTCAAGATGACGTCGCTCTCAAACAACCTCTGGGCTGATCTAAGTCAGGGCAAGGCCAACTCGCAGATTGAACCCTGAAACATCCTCTGGGCTGATCTAAGTCAGGGCACGGCTAACTCACAGATCGAAGCCTGATACAACCTCTGCGCTAATCAAAGTCAGGGCAAGGCTGACTCACACACCGAACCCTGAAACAATCTCTGAGCTTATCAAAGTCATGCAGGGCACGGTCAACTTACCATGAAACAACCTCTGGTCCGGCGGATCGGAGTCAGGGTATGGCTAAATCACATCGAACCCTAGAACTACCTCTGTGCTGATCTATCTAAGTCAGAGCACGGCTAACTCACAGATCGATCGAAGAAAAACAAAATTTGAACAAAAACTAGAAATGCTATGTGCTCATAATGTAATTCTTATTGCGCTTTTTGTTTGTAGGAATCGCTGGTGGTGCACCAAGAGCAGAGAATATCAAGGGCAAGGTAAAAACTGGAATAAAACGAAAGAGAAATGGGATGCATGTTGATAAGATATTTTCTTGTAGGCTTATTTGTTCAAACTAACTTCACATGAGCATACGAACTGCGGAACATAGCATAGTAGCTGTTACTTTCACTGCGTGCGAGAGAACACGACTCTATCATGGCCACTTAGCGCCTCGGTACTCAAGAAGATTTCAAAAATCTTAGTAAATATATATATCATTGTAAATATATATCATTGGGAATTACATTGGGAAGGTAGGTTACACCTGCTGCTTTAGTTAGTGTCCCCTGCGGAGTAGTAGCAGACAAAAGACTTGTCCCTTCCTAGCACCAGGGACACCCTACCTTCATGCAAACGCAGGTTAATCAGAGTATAATATCTCAATAACTTTGGAGTTAAGATATTTAAATTAGGGTTTTGAATTTGATATCATGTCTAGGTCCTGATTTATCAAATAGAAGGACAGTTAACAGTCAGTGCAGCGCTACCACAGCCAAAGAATATCAAGGTAACAACATAAGTCTAGAGTCTGCATGATTCTGAACTATCTACATCTATTTCAATAAATGTTGGTGAAGGTTTCTTTGCATGATGCATGTTTCTTACTTAGCTTGAAATGTAATATATATTTAGGCACTGCCTAAAAGCGGAGCTCCCGATACGCAAGTCACAGGGAGCCCAATTTGAATGAAACTGAAAGGTAAAAATAAGATCGGGGGAAAAATCTTCAATTATCTTTTATTCGAGATGAAGATAATGTCTCCCATAATAAAAGCCATGCAGTGAAATGGAATCGAAATGCACTACATCGTCTTCTTTGCGCGAGTATACACTCCCACTTAGGAATTTTGTACACAACTCACCACCAGCCCCCCTTTTTTTTTGCTTTTGAAATCAAGCGAGATCCCTGTCTTGCGTACACGGACGTACGGAAGTGACGTCAGCCAAGCCATGAAAAATCAACTCGATGGTTGACCATTTTTTCTTAAGTATGGTGTTCCGCACGAAGGCCCGCGCGGGAGCTCCGCTATTATCTTTATTTGCATGCAGTGCAAATAATGTTAGCACAGAAGAAAATATACCGGAAAAACGTGCAAACCGCCGAAGTTCTTTAGAATTCACATCGTTGTGACCTTGCTCTGATAGCCTGATGGCCTTGGTATGCAACATGCATATTTAGTTTCATGTTGCAGGCTGCAAGTTGTTTATTTAAACTTGAAATCTATCATTTTCATATGCGAATATTGTCAGCATAGAAGAAAATATACCGCACGGCAAAACGTGCAGGCAAAGTTTGGATAATATTCCATGTTTTTGTGAATTCAATTCCTCTAAATTACCTTTACCTTTTTACATCGCTCATAGTGCAATTCGGACTTCGTATGGAACATGCAACATAACCTTCACCAAAATTATTTGAAACAAAGCTGTATAAACAGTAAGGATTTTCCTTGTACCATAATCGTATCCTATGATTGTGATGTAGATGGGAAGCTACTTTGGTAGTGTACTGTGTTCTGTTGACCTCAATAAAGATGGGTAAGTGACTTAAAAAGTTAACGCACAACAGGACCACGTGTCATTCCCTTGCGTATTATTACTTCCCGTCAGCGTGTAATAGTCAAGCTTAGTGACATGGTCGTTTGCGAAGTGACACAAAGCACGAAAATTTGCACAGACGGATTTGGGATTTTGCGGAGGGAGGAAAACCGGAGAACCCGGCGAAAAACCCTCGAAGCATAGGAGAGAACCAACAAACAACTCTGCTCACATACGACACGGAGTCCGGGAATCAAACCCGGGTCGCTTTGGCCGTGAGAGGCTAGCGCTATACGCCACTCGTGTTTCCTGTCATTGCACTTGAGAAGTCAAGGAAACCCTTGGCTACACCTCGCGTTTCTCTACGACTTCTCGCTTGCCCTACAGCTCCTAGGGTGTTTATATCACAGTATGTTTATAGACACGTGCGCCGTTCTATATTCCTAATATATTCCTAATATATTGGTGCTAGTGTTGTTGTTCTCGTCATTTCAGCTACACAGACATGCTGGTTGGTGCTCCTTTGTACTCTGATGTCGGAGATGAAGGACGCGTCTTTGTTTACATGAACAATAAAAGGGTAAGTACACAAGCCCGTATACGGTGTGCATCATTACGAGTGTTGTCTTTTTGGTGACCGTAACACAATCCAACACTAGCACTCAAAAGGATAATTATTGGACGAAGTTGAGCAAAATATCGTGGTTTGTTAGCGGCGAGCAAACAATTATTTACCGATGTCGAGGGCAAAGATTTCTTGCGAGACACTAACAAATCACGATATTTTGTGATAGCCTAGCTCATTTGCTTTGCTCTTCAGGTTATTTTTTCCGTGATTTGTGTGTTTTGTTTGTTTGTGCTGTCAATCAAACATACCAAGTCACAAGGAAGCGAGCCTTGACAAATGCAACGTTACTGCGCATGAGCAGAATATTGGTTGCAGAAAAACGACTTTGCACCGTAATACGCATGAGCAGACCATTATTTGCAGGCAGTTATTTGCAGCTATCATCTCGGCCAATAAAAACAACGGAAAAGATAATTTGAATGATATTAGCAATTATTTGTCAAGAACGTTTGCACTTGTTTCACACTGGAGTATATCGTAAATCTCTCGCATTCCTTGATTGGCTGCTCATAAGAGTGTGTTGTTTGCAAATAGGGTGCTCTTAATCTAATGCCCGACATGGATCTCACCGGTGACAAGGTGGCAGAAGGGCGATTTGGTTCGTCAATAGCTAGTGTAGGGGATCTGAATAAAGATGGATTTGAAGGTGAGTAAGTAGTGCAAAACGAGAAGTTACCCTTGCCGTAAAGAGCCTCTTGCTGCACAGTGCTTGAGGAACAAGACAAAAAAAGACACGAAAAGAAAGAAATAGTACAAATGTTATCTTCCACAGAGTAGCAGCGAAATAAGAAACCCTCTGAAGCCAAAAGTAATGAGACAAATCTCTCAGAAATACCTCTTTTATTGAATCTCATCTTTGGGAGTCAAGGGCGGTGTGGCTCTCTTTCCTTTCACTTCTGGGGGTCTCGAGTTCGATTCCTGGACTCGATATCAAATGAGTAATGTTTGTTGGGTTTCTCCCTTCATACGAAACATTTTCATTGGGTTCTCCCTCGGTAATCCATAACGAGCTCGATCCCAATTCGATCCGTGAGCTAGCTACATCTTCAAAGAGGTTATTCCAGGGTTAGACAAAATAAAATAAAATTCAAAATTAAAGTCTCGTTAATATCAATGTTATTTTTAAAAAGGAAATTTTTTTTCAATAATGAGCAATAATGGCAAAAAGCGCCAAAAACTACACATTCGTATGAGTTTTGATCCATTTTTCGTTTTGGGTTTACACTCGAAACCTTTTTAAACAGTTAGAAACTGATGTACTATGATAAAATGCCTGTTTGAAGCGGTATTTTCAATTGTACAAAGATGTTTTGTTGCATTTGTGTTAGAATGTTGCTTTGTCAGGCTTTTTTATAGAAAATATATGGGAAATAAGCAAATGAAGGCCTAAACCTCATTTTCGAATAAAATTCACTTCCAAACAAGTTAAACTTTCTGAATAACAAGATTTTAGCCTTGTACAACAGCCTTTCTTCAAGAAAATAGTTTTTGGCGCTCACCGCTTGAACACGAAAAGAATTATCTCTTAAAGTGTAGTAATACTCAAGGAAATGACACTTTGTCTAAAAGGAAGACATTACTCGCGAACTGACCAAGCATGAATCTTTTACAAGCAATGACCTGTACTTTAATTAAGATCTCATATGGTTTTTTATTTTCCTTAACCTTGAATTTTTGTTCCTTTTATTTTTCTAGATGTAGCTATTGGAGCCCCATACGAAGGCAGTGGAGCAGTGTACATCTACCATGGTACAATGACTGGTATTGACCCCAAACACAAACAGGTAATCCATCCGTCTGTCCCTCCGTCCACCTCTCCCTCCCTAGATCCGGATCCCGTCCGATCGTGTTTCATCCCATCCCCTCCTGTCCCGTCCCATCCCCTCCTGTCCCGTACCGTCCCCTCCTTTCCCGTCCCGTTCCCTCCTGTCAAGTCCCGTTCCCTCCTGTCAAGTCCCATCCCTTCTAGTCTCTCCCATTCCCATCTAGATCATACAATACCATCCATCACGGGTAAGAACGTGTGGAAAGGCTAAAGGGATGCGGGAGGAGGGAGGGGGGTTGCAAACTTTAGGTCCGGATGAATTGTACTCACCAGGAACATAAAACTCCATTTTCTCTCCGCCAAAATAAACTTCATTGGGAACATGCTGCAGAGGTTTTATAGAAGCATTTCATCCATTCAATCAATCTTCTTCTTGTGTTTGAATAAAGAGCCGGTATCTTTGTTTCTCTCTCCTTGCAGAAAATCATGGGATCCGAAGTGCAGTCAAGTCTTTCCCAGTTTGGTCAGTCTATAACAGGAGGACTTGATGTTGATGACAATAGCTATCCAGGTATCTTACACACTCGGACACATAGTCCGTCTTCTTTGAATAAAAACAACAAGAACCACGCCCTATTTCTATTGTTGGATGTAGGGTTTGAATTTCAATGGACAACCTAGATTTAACCTTGATTTAAAGTTGGGGGCGACATTGATATTAACAGGGGAGAGCGGGGCTGAATACAAAACCCGGGACAGGTTTTCCATCGAGATTCAAAACCTACATCAAACGATAGAAATAGAGCGTGGTTGGTTTTTAAACGCACCTGCTCGGGTTTGCATTGAAATTGAAGACCGAGGGCCGCACTCGCCCTAGCGTTTTAACCTTTATGATACACTACCTCCCCTGTCGAAACAAGGGAGGTAGTGTATTGGCTAATGAGCTCCATCCAACTCCACGAAACCATGCAGAATTCTAGAGTTTTCTGTGTTTTTAGCTTGCATCAACAAAAATGAGTATTTAAAACTTTGAACCCCGAATTGACCGAGGCCTTAAACCAAGGCATTAGAAGTTCAGTTTTGTTTTTGTCTGAATTACGTGTTTGTGAAACTTCGTCAGGCGGTAGTCGTAAGCTATTTTGCTTGGATCCCTACCACCACCACCAGAACTAAAAACGATGTCAAAGCCATAAATGATTGGTTAAAGCAAATGACGACGTTTCTGATACGGACAGATACTGGTACTGAATACTTAGTTGGATTTTTTATCTCTTTTCTCCCCCAAGATATTGCAGTCGGTGCTTTTGGATCTGACCAAGTAGTTCTTTTTTTGTAAGTATTTTAATTGGTCCCTGCCATACACACTGTTTTTAACATTATTTACTTTTTGAAGCAAAACTAACAAGGATATCACGATCTGTTTATTGAATTTTGATGCCAAAATGTCTCGTCTATGTCGTTCTAATCCAGATTTCAAATATACCATATATCCGTGAAAAAAGATTAAATACCAACAACATTAGGAGACCACTCATTTTGTTTTTACATTGCTATAGACGGATTTGTTATTCTCATATACTTATTTCAATAGTTAGTCACCAAAAACCTAGAAAGCTATGATCGCTGAGAGTCATGGGAAATATTTCATATTCAACAAGTAAAGGTTTCGACACAAACTGCAGCAGTTGAGGATAATCCTTGTTGGTCTCAGCTTTGTAACTTTTCAGGTGACTAACGTTATTGAATTAAGTGTATGGAATTTTAATGTAAGATTCTTTTTAATTTCGTACGTAGTGATCGAAGATTTTAAGCTTTTTTTCTGTTAGCTTTCTGAATTACAAAGCGCCATAGATTGTATATATTAAAAAAATATGTAAATGTAATACATTATTATCTGTTTATTCAGGACACAAGAGGTTTTAAACGTCGAGGCGGAAGTAAAACTCAACGTGCAGCGAATCGTGCTTGAGAACAACGAGACGACTTGTAGTGAAAGTGACAATACACTACACAAATGGTACGTAAATATATCGAGGGGAAATGCTCATTGTCAGGAAGCAGTTGACTGGCCATTTGATGACTGAATATTAATAACTTATAATAATAACTAATAATATATCTAGCCTCGGCTCGGGTAAATAGGCTAAGATACCGAATTAGAAGATCGTGTGTGAAAAGCTCAGGACATGAACTTGCTGTGTTTTGTATGTAACCGTGCCGTGTCCGAGATAACCGCGGGTAACCTCGCACACCAGAGCAGTTCTGACTGTGAATAGATTGATGCCGTATGCATGCCTTGCCGTGACCATGTTGTTTTCTAGAATTGTGTCGAGCAAATATTTAACAAGAATGCGAAAGCTTCTCTGCCGTAGCGTGCCGTGCCGTGCAGTGTCCAAGTTAACCGGTAACCTCGTACACTAAAAGTGTGTTGAGCTATTTTACAGTCATACGAAATCTGTTCTGCCGTACCGTGCCGTGCCGTGCAGTGTCCAAGTTAACCGGTAACCTCGTACACTTAA